CGCGCTAAGGGCTTGGGGAGAGAAGATCTTAAGGGCAACGCTGTGACTTTTGAAGGAAGCTCCCAGGAGCCACGCGGCGCTTTGACCTTGCTGCTCCAGGCCCAGACGGTTCCCGCCATGACTAATTTCCCCGCTGCCACACACAAATAAGGAAGGAAATTAATTTTTTTTTAATAAAAACAACAACAGCTGCATCGTTTCCAAGCTGCCACCTGAGGAACGGGGGAAAAAAATCGATATATGTCAAATGAAGAAGGGTGAGAGCAAGGTGTTGCAAGGAGCGGAGAATAAAACCATAATTAAAACTGCAAACAGGCTTGGCTGCCAAAAAAAAACCCCTGCCTGAAAGTCCTGGGGACTGCGGCGACAAATTCAGGCCGTTTCAGCAGATGTTAGTTACTCACGGTCACCCAAGATCCCACCATGGATGGACGTTGCCGTCGCCCAACCCTTTCCAATAAGGAGACATTATTGACCGCTCAATTGCGACTGAATTACTACGGATGAACATATTACAGGCCCATTAAAGTCTAATGAGCGGCTGGTGATTAATGCCATTACGAGGAATACCAAAAGAACTAATGATGATGAGCCACTTAAAGTGACGTGTCGAGGGTTTTATTATCGATGACTCCTTGGTTTCTCACCTAAAAACTCTTGGGTTGGAAGGAGGAAGAGGTTGACATGGGTAAAGGCGAGAGGTTTCCGGAAGCGATGACCCAAGGAGGTCCCATATTGATACCCTTTTAAGGATAAGATTGATGGGAAATAGCGTTTCTTGGAGAAACCTATGAGAAATAGAAGTTTCTTGGAAAAACATCTCACCGTGGGCTTTAGCACCTTTGGGAATGCCATTTTAAAGCAAATTATAATTTTTAGCATCTCCCCAGACCCTGTTCTTTGCCTTCCTTTCTCCCCTCGACCTTCTTATATTAATTTTCCATTGGTTCTTTCACTACTTCTTTTAGCTTTGTCTCTGCTCCATCACTTGCAGCATCCAATTTAAGGCTCTCGGAAGGTTTCTCTCCTCCTTTCTTTACTCAGATGTGTCCAGGCTGTCAATACAAGGGTCAGATTTTGCCACAATATCACCCGGGGGCTTTGATCCCATGGGGAAATGTCACCCCATGTGGGCATGATGACATTCAAGCATCCCCAGAAGACAACTATAGGACCTTTTTTTGTAGGGTTTTTCAGGGAAATCACTCTGCAGTTGCTTTAACTTCGGAGAGACAAGTGTCAAAAAGCCTTATTTGTACCGATGTACAAATTTACTGGCCTGAATTAAAATTGCGTTTAGTATAAAAACTCACCAAAACCAAAAAACAATCAACTTCCTCCCACTCGGGAGCGTTTTGAACGATAACGGGTGACGACGGAGACACCCCGTCTTCCTCCATCCACCTTTTCCAAGTGCTTCTTGGTTGGGGTTGGACTCATCCCACTATGGGAAACGCTTTTGCTCCTCCATCTCCCACCAACCGGGGCCTTTTTGGGCTTTTAGAGGCATCTCCTCTTGCTGGGATGGGTTTTTTTATTATTATTTTAAAAGTGACCTCATATCCCATTTTATTATTTTTTGAACATTGCAGGATTTGTTCTGTTTGAAGTCTTACATCCTCATTTCCCGTCAGGACGATTAAAATTGATTTCCGCCATCAGCAAGAGAAAGATAATCCGAAGTGGGTTCCTGCGAGAGAGCGCCGTATCCCCACCGGAGCCGTTACAAACCCTCTCCTATTATTTTAACTTTCTTTTCTTAGGGATTTCTCTTCGGAAAAGGGCAACTTAGCACTTCTCAGCCATATGTGTCCTCTGAGAAGTTGGGGAGAACTATTTAACCTCATGTATTTCCATCGCAGAAAGTGGACCGGGGGATTAAAATAGCTCTTGTTTACCACTGCCACTGTCCCAGAGGTATTTTTAGAGGGGTAATCGGATCCTCTCAACGCCTTCGCTTTGCTTTCTCGGGCTCCGCATCCTCCGACCCCATCCCTGCACCTGTCCCAGTTTGTATCTGGGCAAACCGAAACGGGATGGGTTTCTCCCATTGCGTTAAGCTGGGTGTTTCCCGGTGCACCCAGAGGCTTTGCAGAAGGAGGACAGAGGGATTCGGGCTGGAAAACCACCCCCAAGGTGTAAAACCTCTGGCCAAGAAAGAAGACGTGGAAATAATGGGCATGGAGAGCAAGCGGCACTTGGGGATCCAGCCGTGCCTGCCTTTACCCATCTCCTAAATCAATTAAACCCAGAATATCCTAAATAAAAAATCAATTGAAATAATTAAAATCAATTAAATAAATTTAAAAAATCAATTAAATAAATTTAAAAACCAAGTAAATCAATTTAAAAACCAATTAAATCAATTAAAACGTGAATATCCTAAATAATCTCCAAAATAAGCCAAAAACACCCCGAAAATACAAATAGCGTCTTTCCAGGCTGGAGGATCCCGGGGCCCCGCAACCATCCCACTCCTGTGCCGGTTTGCAGCAAATCTCCGTCAGTAAATTTATGCAAATGAAGGGGTCTGGCGGTTCCTATCACACCTGCAGGGGAAATTAGGGGTTTGTAGCAATACTGCAAGAGCTCGGCTTTCCCCAGCCGCCGTCCCCGGGCTCCCAACCCTCGAGGAGCCACCCCAGAAAGGGGGTCCCCAGCCAGGTCCCCACCATCTAACGGCACCCCCATCATAAAGCTTAAATACCTTTACAAGAGAGTAATTTAACGCCATCCCCAGCTTAAGCTCCATATCTACCGGGCGTGAAATTAGTTCCAGCAAGCTGCAAATTTGCCGCTAATAAAAATATTTAGCAATTCGCTAGTCTTTAAATCAGGAGCAGAATATTTTCTTGCTTGCATCAACGCCTGTTTCTTTTTAATTCTAATATTGGAGCGTCAGGGAGCTCCAGCCGTAAAACTGCAAGTTTTACGACTGCGCAAAGAGATTTAAATCAATTCCCCCAGCACTTCCAACTCCGCCACCAAGAGTTTGACCATTTAATATCATTCGATACTAGATCATGTCGGTCATTTTGGCCACCGGGATGAGCCGGGCATGGTCGATTTGCAGTTTTTAACCCAAAAAAGACCATCCCGACTCAAACCCACCCTGTTTCTGGGGGCTGCTCCTCGAGCGGTGTCTTACAAAAGAGCTTTGATCCATCCGATCCTGCCTTACAGCCCTTGAAGTAAGGTGACCTCTCCGTCCTCCTGGGACAAGCGTTTGATTAACCTCGGCGCTAATTGCATCTCTCTGCCAAGTCCATTTTGTCCAATTCCAACATCAGGATGTTTTTCATGCCTTTGCCAAGAAATGCCGCAATCCCCTGATCTTTTCCTCGGGAAAAACCACCCACGGTGATGAAGCATCCTTCAAATCGTTCCTGGGCAGGGCAGCATCTCCCATCCATCGGCAACCACCTGAATCATTTGTGTCCACATAAATTCTTTGCACTGGGTTTTGCTGGGCTGTGAGCATCCAACAGCGTCCAGATGACTCCGCTTCTCCTTATTTACCACGTAAAGCGCGGTATCGCTTGAGACCCTTGCCAGTAAAGGCTTTACGGTACCTAGATTATTGGTATCAAACATACTGGACCTGGAATTAATCGTTACCACATCGTTCGTCATCGCTTTGATGCGTCCTGCCCAAAGCAAGGGTTTGGATGCAAGTCAAAAGTCTCGGTGAAACTCGGATCCGCAGACTTCCCCACGTCAGCCGTTATGCTGGAAAAAACCACCACAAATCTGAAGTTTGTCCCAGAGTCATGCAAACACTGCAAGCAACATGAAAAGCCTCAATTTCTGCTGCTTTCCTACATTTTTTAATTTACATTTTATATTCAGTATTGCTTTTTCCCACCTTTCTGTTGTTGTTTTTTTCTTACAGGTGCAATGCAACTCTGACACAAGCAGTAAAAGATACCAAATCCTAGCAGGCAAAAGCTGGGGAAAAAATCTCATTTTAGGACAGCAATAAATTATTCTTTGGCCATAAAATCTAATCTTACCATTCAACTGACCAGCTGCCAGAGCAGTCCCGTAAGGCAAATCCCCACCGAGGCACTTCTGATGCTGGGGCGGGGCTGAGATAAAGAAGAGGGTGTTTAGGATGGTGTGTTTCGTTGCAGATGGCTTGAAGAAATTTCTAAGGAAGGTTGTGCTTGGAAGTATCGCACCGATGAGGTTTGTTTTCCCAGGTACCTCCTCCCAATTCCTTAGCTGTGGATTTACAGCTTGCCTCCACCGTGCTCAGAGAAACCCATAGCCCCGCTGCAACACCGTATGTGCCGTATAAATAAATATTTTGGCGTGCGTTGGGATGCTGGGCATCACTTCGTCTCCAAATCTTAGTGCCTGAGTTACCATCAGCCCAACTGTGCTGGATACAACAGACGGGATTAAAACCAAGAAGCAACATGGCTAAAACCCGGCCGCTGGATGTGGTTGCTGAGGTGTATATCAGATTTATTCTTCGACCTTTTGGACAAATATCTGGGACGTGGCGTGGTCCAGCAGCGGGTTCAATAGCTGGACGACTCAAGCTCTCTGCCACAACCTCTTGAACTGGCTTAACGCTGTCATTGCCGGCATCAAGAAACTACCAGGCAACACCGAGAGGAGATGAAGGAGATAATAACTAGTGAAAAGACCCAGTCGATATGGGAACGGGTTAAAGATGCTGTTGTTAAAGCTGCGGATAAAAGGTCGAAGGGAAAATTCAGTAAAGGAAAAGCCTGATGGACAAAAATGATCACTTTTAGGTGGAAAGCCAAAGGACAGAAGAGGAATGGCAGAAAGAGAAGGGTCTCTGTGAAAACGGGGCTGTGAAGAAATCTGGGGTTTTACAAACTCCTGGGGTCCAAAAATGCAAATAAATTGGAAAATAGCGAAAAGCAAAGGGAGATTCTCAAACAACAGGAGCAAATTTATCATTTCTGATTGCCAGCAGGAGCAGGAAGCACAGGGAATAACGGGAGAGAAGGGTTGGGAAGACGATGGCGAAGACGGACATCGCCAACGTGGGGTTTGCAGAGAAAAAAACCAAACCAAACCTCTCTGGTGGGATTAACGGTACGAGACGGTGCGGGAAGGAGTTTGCTGTCAAACATACGCTTTTAATATGTTGGCAGGCGGTTCCTACTCGATGCCAAGTAAAGGCAGGTGTCGGAGACAGTTTGCGCTCTGCTTGCCGAACGGGTTGATGTCACGCTGGCGACTTTGATTTCATCGCAGGAAAAGGCAGGTCGGTGCCACGCAGCATAATTAATCGCCGTTTTATTCCTCCCATTGAAAGAAATGACAGAAAGAAAACAGCAGTTACGTGACATTTTATGCAGTCAAAGTATCATCAGACTTCAAGTAGTTGAAAGGAAAAGCGGAATATATCAACGTATTTACTCTTTTCAGGTTAACTGGTAGACGAGCCGTGAGTACCGGCATAGAGTCACCCATCAAACCACTCCGGCCAGAGTCTGATGGGGAAGAAAAGGGATTTAAAAACAGGCAGAAAAAATGGGTTTAAAATGGAAATCCCTCTTGTCTTGGTATTAAAAAGATGCTCAGTGCATTGACAAAACTCCTTGGCTTGGCTCGGAGGTCCTTGACCCCCGGTGTGGGTGTCCCACAGCAGTGCAAAACCTTGCTGTATCCAGCCACGTTTGTATTAACCAAATCTGCCTGATTTTGGCCCTAAATTTTTTTGGGGTTATTTTCGGGTGAATTGAGGTTGGGCCTTTGTTCGGCTTTCGGTTTTTGGGGTTGAGGCCTTGCTCAGGAGCTGGC